ATCACTGAAGAAAACGCACCATCAACTCCTCACAAAATCTGTGATGCGTAATGGATCACAGATTTGAATTTGGCCCCCAAAGAGAGAAGGGAAAAAATAAGGACCATCTGTAGCCTGTCATTTCATATCCACATGCAGAAAGCCGGTGCAGCTGAGAGGCTGCGGGCCATTCTGTTCACCGCCAGTTTGTAGCCCATAAATCCAATTAAAGCCGCTTTCTGGTCATTTCTTGCGGTGAGTAAATGAAGACTGCAATTAAGTTTATCTATGCGGGCACACAACGGTGAGGAGTATTAAAACAAACGCGTGCATATATTCGCGGCGGCCAGCCGTCAGGATTAAAGTAGCTGAGCCGTTTAAAAGGATGACAAGGGAAATCTTTCAAGGGGAAGGTGGAGGTGGAGAAACTCTCCGGCTCTGTGGGAGTTTGCTGCGATGTTTTAGTTTTGAGAGAGAATAATATTAAGAAAATAGTCCATCAAGATGAAGAAAACAGTTGCAAGCTGGGACCCCAATATTTCAGGACCTTGGAGAGAAACAGCCACTGTATGCAGTACCGAAAGGCCGGCGACGGGGGGCGCCAGTCAGCAGTAAATCACAAGACTGCAAAAATATTCATCACATTACACATTACCTGAAGTCACAACCGTGAAAATAAACAATCGATCACATTTTTAAAGATCATCTGAAGCTTTATTATTTTTAGGAACATTGTTCACAATACGTTTATTACCATAAATATTTGCTGACAGTTTGTAACCAGATCGATTTGATAGAATTTTTTGTGGATGGTGCTAATTTCAGGAAATGAGAGACTTTCAGGTTTTTAAAAAGTGCTTTGTTGCTTTATACAGCAATTAAAGTGACAAATGGTGCACAGATAACAGACTAGACAAACACTTATAATCAACAAAAACTATTTTTTTAAAAAAAAGGGTTTGCTGAGTTTCAACAAAAAAACCCTCAAATGTCCTTTGAACCGACTTTAACACCTCACAGGTAAATAAATATTAATGTTAATATTCGAAAAATATCTTTCTAATGCAAAACTTTAAAGATGTGCAGTTTTCTTACTTTAACTTTCTGCCTTTCAGTCATTAAAATACATAATCGGCCCAAGTATAAGATCTTTGGAAGCATAAAGCAGTTTTTGGATAAAACTTATTTGGTTGCTTGAGTATTGTCCCCAACTCTCAGCAAGAATATAAATGAGCGAAAATTATTTATTTTAATAGATACGTGTTGCTATAATAACTAATTTAATTTACTATGTGGTTTTGAGAACTACACATTGAACAAAATAACCATAAATATTGAAAACGTTGATTTTTCAGGTTGTGCAAACATGAGGAAATTATTATCATTTACTCATAAATAACTGAAACAGTAATTTGTCCCTGAGGTATCTATTAGCATCCAGTAGGGACCAGTATCTCCACCTCTTGGTCATCCTGGTAGATGCTGTTCATGTGCTGGCATTCCTGTTATGCTTTTGGTTGTCCACAGCTGGCTTCAGTCCTGAACCTTCTCTACTGAAACTGCCCGCTTTGCCCCTGATGTTGATGATCTCCATCCTTTGGTGGTAACTGACTAGGGTCGTCTGCAAAGGGAATTGCTGGAGAAATCAAGGAAGAAGACACAACAAAGTCAGTTTTTCATGCTTCACTGGCATCAACACATAACCCATGTTTCCCTCAGAAATATTTATATGAATATTACTACTGCCTAGGTCTGCTGTGCATTCAGGCTTTTTGGTTTCGTAGCCTTTCCTCAGCTCATCACTGTCAGGGACCTGGATCTGAGCTACCTAGGGTCCCTGAGCAGTTATGGACTTGTTTTATATTATATGTGTTTTTGGTGTTGCTGTCCCTCGTTCTCCCTGCTTGCAGGTATATGTGGGTGTGTGTGTGGATGCAGGTGTATCTGGGAGCACCTGTTTACAGGCACCTTCAGGCCTGGTGGGTGTGCCAGGTGGTTGGCCCCACCTGAAGACCTTCACACACCTGCAGCTGATCAAGCCTCGTCAGAGGAGCTGCTTAAGAGTGTGATGGAGGTCTATCCGATGCTGGATCATTGCGTTCACGTTAGTCTCTCGGCCAGTTAGTATGATTAGTCCGCATTGTGTGTGTCTTACAGCTGCCTCTTTGCTATTTCCGCAGGAGAAGCGTGGAGACGAGAGGGAAGCGAGCACGGGGTGCTCAGACACTGAGGAGCGGAGACAAGGAACACTAGCACTGGGAAGAGGACATGTCACGGGAGTCAGGAACGCACTGAGGATTTATTGTAATTGTCCATTCGCTGTAAATAAACGCACTGCTTGCATTCAGAGCTCCGCGCCTAGGTCCTCCTTTTCCTCACATCCCCACGGTTGGCCAGCATCAGCCGTGACAATCTCATCCAAAATAAGACATGTCTCAGCAGGAAATCTAACTTGAGCTGTGCTGGAGGCAACCTGATGTTCATACATTTGTCTGGTGATTCATAGCAACACTAAAAACAAAAACGATTTTAATAGTCTCACATCCTTCAAAGTTTTTTATAAGTTATATCATTAACATTGTGAGAAATTGTGTTGTTTGGAAAAACGAATCAAACAGGAAACACAAATTAAACTGCACAAGAACTTTGAGAGAGTGGATGATTTTCCTCAGGTTCTTTAAAACATTTTGATAGAAACAAAAAAATGCTACAAGTGTGGCGAGGGTGAGTAAAAATGGGACCAGTGAGATGAAAAATGTTGCTCTATGCCGAAGTCCAGCCATAATTCTGTCAAACTGAGGAGTGGACACCAGTACAGGGGTATAAAACCACTCACACATTTAATCATGTGACATTTTGCTAAACTACTGATAAATCATTGGTTCTGCCCAGTTTAAATATCATTTCTGAAACATAATTAACTTCACTCACGGTTCTGAAACTGCTGCGCTGTGTATCTGGTTAGGAGAATCCCAAACCCCTCAATGAGAGCAAGCAAAATTCCCCCCATCATTGCAGAGCCCATCATTGTTAGAGGTCCACCTGGAGAAAAATGCAATATTCAGCGAGTCACGCTAATTATCACAATGTAGAAACCCAATTCCAAAGAATTTGGAATTTTGTTTACATTTTACACAGCGTGCCAACTTTTTCAGAATTGGGGCTGCATTTACTGACACAGAGAGACACAGTGGTGTATTGTTTCTTTTGAGCTAATGAGCTCCTTACTGCGTGCTGCTAGGATGGCTCCAGTCAGCGCACCACTGGTTATAGAGTTCCAAGGATCCTCTTTCCCTCTCAGACGAACCAAACCACAGTCAATTGTGGAAAAGAGCCCTCCCCAAACAGCAAAGCTACCTGCAACATAAGAAGTAACCAGACTTCAGCTACTTTTATGAAGCTAACTGTACCTAAACTATTTAATCTACACAAAAAATGGTATATTACTAACTAACTGCCATGTGTAACAAAAAACAGGAACTGCTCACCTCCAATCTGTGGAGCTCTAACTCTCACTGCTTTTGCACTCCCTTTCAGCCTGTGTCCGACACCCTGAAATATTAGAGCTCAGTTGAATTCTGCTTTTAACAACCTGACGAGCCAGAGAACAAACAAAAACCTGTGTTTTGAACTCACAGCAGGGGCATTTCGAAAGCCCTTGACCGCCTGGAACACCCCTCCTCCAATTGCACCCATTGTGAAAGCACCTCCACAGTCATCCACTATCCTCCAGGGGCTGCGTTAAGAGAGAAATGGATATCTATGTGATAGGAAAACTGACAATGGAGATATATCTGACAACTAACATCCAGTTCATATACAAAATGCAGAAGTTATCTATCGGGGTCTGGATGAAGCCGAAGACAATATGGGCACAGTTCTGGCTGAGAAATGTATATTACCCGTGGATGAAGAACTAGTTCCTTAAAGCCACACAAATAACTAAATACTCACCTCTGAGTTATGTTTGTGTTATAAAACATGTCAAACATCATAAATGAATATGTCAAACAGTAGTGAAAGAACTAATGAGGTGTGGAGAAGGGAAATGACAATTTAGTATTCTCCAGCCAAAGCCCAGCTGCTTTGAGGTTTGATATGTTGTCCATTCAGAGATGCTATACTGCACACTTCAGTTGTAAGGAGTGGTTATTTGAGTTACTGCTGCCTTCAGTTCAAAGCAGTCTGGCCACTCTCAACAAAGCTTTTTCAACCATATAACTGTTGCTCACTGGATATTTTCTCTTTTTCACGCTGTTCTCTGTAAAACCCTAGAAATTATTTTGTGGGGAAAAGGCTGTAGTTAAACAGTTTCGGAAATATTGAAAAGATCGGCCATTCTGGCAAAAACAATCATGTGATGTTCAAAATCAATAAAAATCAGCTGTTTGAACTTCTCCAGCCTGAACTTCAGCAATGCGTCATGACCATGTCCATATGCCTAAATGCACTAAGTTGTTGCCAAGTGACAGAATGTAGGTTTACATTAATCAGTAGGTGGACAGGTATGCCTAATGAAGTGGCCGATATCTGGATTCTTTATCCCGTTCCTTTGAACTCTGTCATTAAAGTTTGACTTGTAGGGGATCAACCTTGGCTCGAGGTGTGTCTTAACTTGATAAATAAATAAATAAAGCTTCATGTACTGCCTGTTTGGAACCAGATTAATCCACCCTGAACTATTTTTAATTTCTATCCTAACTCCAGTTGTCACTTAAAAACAGCGACATTTTCAGATAAAGATGACTCTACCAGCTTATTGTGTGTGCAGAGGGCGCCTCTATATAACGTCTTTATCTTTTTTATATGCCTTTAATAAGCAGGCCGCAACAACCACAGAGCCTTTCTGCTCACTCTCACATCAAAGCTGAGTATGAAATTTAAAAAAGTCAACACTTGACTCCAACTTAATTAGTTCTAAAATACAAACAAACGCTTAAAATCGAATCTTACCAGGGCTCTCGGGCATACTCCTCCATGTCTGTTTACGTCGTCGTCTTCGTCAAGAGGGCGTGATTACGTCATCATTAAGCGCGCCGTGTATGCTGTTTTGGAAAGAGGTATCGTTAGCTTGACGATAAAAAACGGCCACCTTTTTTAAAAAAAAGGTAAGAATTTAATTATTTCTTGTTGTTCAGTCTTTTGAAGTAAAGGGTAACATTTGTGTTTGTGTGGTGTGGATGCTTTTTGGAGACGCATAGTTTTGTTTATTGCGTTAATCTTACATCTGCAGCCACGGATGCACCACAAGCGTGTTAGTTTCTCGTTAAAGGAAACAGTTTGTATTGTACGTGGTACAAATAATCACAAAGAAAAAATATATATATATGTATGTGTATATATGTAAATACATATATGCACATACACATAAGATAAGGAGCTAGTAAAGTTTTACCTGGGATTCGCGTACGATGGCCATATAACCTAAGAAACTGATTTCTTTATTAGGATTATGGAGTTACTTTAATTTTTTATGAGCAGATTACTTTAAATGATGACAGGACACATAACAGTTCAGGAGTTTAGTCATTCTCAGACCTGCCAGGATACATGCTTTAAACTACAATTCAGGAATATCATTGTGATATCGACATCAAAACAGCCAGCAGTAATTTATTGCAGGAAATACTAGTCTACAGATGTGACAAGTCTGCTGCAAAAATGTGGTTCTGGGCAGTGTTAAAGCTGCTTTTGATAGAATTATTACAGTAAAGGCTTAATCTCCGCTTATCAGAAAACAAGAAATGTCCCAGAAAAAAATGGACAAAACAAAATAATGATAATGAGAAGAAGATGAAGAATAAAAAACAGGTAAATATGGGAACTGTTTCAAAACCAAGTGCTCAGTAAAGTGTGAAATGAATGGTGTACCAAAAATATTAAACATAATGATGATAAAAAAAAAAATAATTAAAGACATGTGTCTAATATATAAAATAGCCCATGAAAGTAATGAAACGGTTACAAAATGTGCTTATATTAAAGATCACTAAACTATATAATGGTGGTAATCATGTGCATTTTACTTTATGGCCACATGTGACTCAGTGGTTTGTGTGTAAATGATGAGTTTCTATATGTCCTAAATAATCAAAGGGTACATATTATTGAAAGTAAATGATATGTATTATATTATCTGATTTATGACAGATCTAAGACTATTTTAATACTGTGTAATAATGTGCTATGAGCATTTGTTCTGCAACTGTTATTTTGGTACCCCAAGTGAATTTCAGCCATAATATGAACAGAGTTTCACATGGACTCCGTCTTTCAGGATGCCTTTACCTCCAGCACTACTGGCCCGATTGGCCAAGAGAGGGATTGTTAAACCAACAGAGCAAGGTAGTGGAACAGATTTCATATTCGGGTCTCTACCCTTCGTGAATTTCTCCTTATGTTTTGTGCTTTTTTTCCATGCCTTTTTAAAAACCTTTTCCCCTTCAATTAATTCAGGGGCAGATGAGGAGATTATTGCTGAAGATTATGATGACAACAATGTAGATTATGAAGCCACCAGAGTGGAGAATCTACCACCAAACTGGTACAAAGTGTTTGACTCTGCTTGGTATGTACACTTGATATACTATAATTTAATATAATAAGAATTTTATACTTTAATTCAAAATGATTGTTATAAACGTCACAATCAGAATGCGCTTATTACTTTTTCTTTCTTGTTTCTCATTTTATTCTTGAGAAGTCCTTGAACATTATAACTACTGTCATGGAGAGCTAAAGTGTATTTTTAAACTGTTAAGTAAGTTTTATTTAATTTTGTGGTTGCAATATTAATCACTAATGTTTTCTATTCCTTACACAGTGGTCTTCCTTATTACTGGAATGTCGAGACAGATATGGTTGCCTGGTTATCCCCAAATGACCCATCTGCAATAATAACAAAACCTGCCAAGAAAATAAGAGGTATGCTTTTATTCAGCCTCTATAATGTAATGTTTTCAAGAAGCACAAATTTCAGTTCTGTTACAGTTGACGTGTGCTACTTTGCATGTACAACCTCAGAATACAGTTTGCTTTTGACAGATTTCAGCCATGGCTAATCTTGTGATCCTTGCCTTAACTTGTGTTTTTAGTAGAAGGAGGAGATGAAAAAGGCGAGAAGCAAGTTGAGAAACCAGACAGAGACAGGGACAGAGAACGACACAGAGACCGGGATCGGGAAAGGGATCGAGATCGGGAAAGGGACAGGGAAAGGGACCGGGACAGAGAGCGTGATGATGGGAGGGACAGAGACAGAAGAAAGCAGAGAAGAGATGAGGCAGCACCATACAGTCGAAGCAAAAAAGGTAATGTTTACATCTGATTCATTACGTTTACACATCAGCGACTTTCACACGATTGAATATTGAACACTTAATATTTTTTACAGGTAGAAAAGATGATGAGATGGACCCCATGGATCCAAGTGCTTACTCTGATGCTCCAAGGTACAGTACAGATGGTCACCTCGATATAAGCTATATACAGGTCGTTCTCTGGTATTCTGATTTTTGCCAGAATCATTGTGTTGCACTTGTTGAAAAATAGTTATGAGAGACAGACCAAATCAATTCCCATCATGCATTTTTATCTTAGACGTAAGAACTAAACCCTCACATAGCACAGGTACAGTTTTTGAGTGTGTCCTCTCAAAATTCAAAATGGTAATCAGCATAGCTGATATCCCTGGTTTAGGGAGCTCACATAAATCTACATTTCATGCGAGGCACAACACCTCAACAAGAGGCAGATTTTATTGCAGTAGCATAATGTTCATAGTGAACTGGATTAGTTTTCCTCCCATTTTCATAAAAGATATTCTTAATATTTGACCAAATTTGACCAGCTTTTATCACAACTCACTTATTCCCTTGAGCATAAAATAAAGACTTGCAAAAAGGCCTCGTATCCTTATGAGCTCTGAGGCCTCAGAGCAGGAACACGTGTGAACGCTGGGAAGGGGCCATACACTTTATTTTTTTTAAACAGCATTTTGACTTGGCATGTCAGAGAAAGCACAGGTATCAAAACAACTCAAAGAACTACTTCAGCACGCTAGTTTCATTATCCTTGTATGTGCAGTCAGTCTTATTGTAGCTGTAAATGCAACATACTGTAGCCATCGTTAACTAAATTTACCTCACTTGCAGTTTTCCTGCCACCATGAGCCAAATTGTCTGCTGTGGAAATGTCTATTAAAGATCTACACCTCCAGGGTTTCTGTTTAAAATATTCCTAAGACCAAGCTGAGATTGTCATTGCAATTTGATCAAGGTTGTTTTCTCAGGCTTGACAAAACCCCTTTTCAGACACAAGACATTGTAGTGCTGATTACAAATGCAGTTAACACAAACGTATTCATTTTTGCAGGGGGTCGTGGTCAAGTGGGCTGCCCAAACGTAATGAAGCAAAAACGGGTGCAGACACTACAGCAGCGGGGCCTCTCTTCCAGCAGCGTCCGTACCCGAGTCCAGGAGCTGTTCTTCGGGCTAACGCAGCAAACCAAATACCCAAGGAGTAAAAGCAAATACTACGAAGACAGCAACTTAAAACCCACAACTCTACAGTTGGTCTTCATTATGCTCACATGCTAAACATCATAGTTTGACAGGCTTTTCTTTTCATTGTGAAATGTGTACATGTCAGAAATCAAGGGCTGAACTTTTTTGGACAGCTTCTCTATTCATACTCCTGCCGTGTAGAGCATTTGTAAATATGTTTTTATATGACCCAAAGGTTCACTTCTCGTTACTAGACCCATCAGTGAACATGATAATAAACTTAAGACTACTGTGAAAATTATCTGTTGCAGCCTTTTCTCAATTGTTGCATTGCCATATGTACAAGGAAAAAAAAATCTCGACAAGTTTTTATTACAAAATTGCAATCTTTTAAAATCCATAATACTTGAATAATAATAAAAAAAAAACCCCAGCTGGGATGAAGTCGATGGAAAAAGGACAGTGAATATTACAGTAAACATCAGAAATCAGTGGTCTGCTGCTGCCCCAACATAGTGACAAATGGAGTCATAGTCCAATGTGAACACTTTATCCTCGTATCTGTCGAGCTGGACCATCGCTCTGCACTTGTTCTTGTCCCGCTGAAGAATACGGCCAACCTGAATCAGGTGGGAATATAGTGATCAGCATTAGCTAATCAGATTTAAACAAATATATATAAAGCAGTGAGGTTACTTTGCTCACCTTTCCCTTGTGCTCACCCAGTACCACCATTACAGAATCATATTCACTTTTTGGGACAATAGTTTCCAGCATGTCCTGCTTCACATCTGCCACAGGAAAAGAAAAAAGACACGCTGGGTCATTCATTGAAGAATTTCTACAGTAATACCAACTAGGCAGCACTCAGGAGTAGAGCCAGCAGATTCTGA